ATTTTTCTCTCTCAAGTCCCGAATCCTTTGTGTTTTTTTCCTTCGCCGAATGCTCCTTAAATCCCGAATGGTTTCCCTTTTTTATCTCCCTTCCCTATGTGATTTTTTTGCTATTTGATGGACTTGATAGATATATTTGAGTCCCTTAGGATAATGTTTGGTTTTGTAAGATTTTCCTAATCCTTTTTCTTGTTGATGGACTGCTGACTGATGAGTTTGATGAAGTGTTGTCATTGTTCGGTGCAGGTGGGATAATCGGCGGTGATAGTGGAAAATAGATGGCATCGTCATACATCATATTCCTAGGGTTAGGGTTTTAGAAACCCTAGGGGATCGGGTCGAATCCGAATTCGGGTATGGATCCGGGTCGAATACTAGGTCAGAGCTCCAGCTGGATCTTGTAACTGGGTCAGATTACTGGATTGAATGGTCTGTTGGGTCTTGTACTGTAACTGGGTTGGGCTCCAATATTGGGCTTTGGGTAAAGCCTAAAAAATTGTAATAAAATAATTAATAATAATAATAATATTATTATTATTATTATATTATTATTATTGTAGACCCAGACAAAAACGGGTGTCTACAGCTGCCCCTTTTTGCATATTTTTGTGTTAACAAGAATAAGGTAAAGACGAAAAAGACAACCAATTTTTGTCCGGTTATCTTTTATTGGTTTTGAGATTTGATATGTTTGTCGGTAGGGGACGACACAGCTCATACGCGATAAAGAGGTCTGGTCGTCTAAGGGTGAGACGGCTCTTATGTGATGAGGAGATCTGGTTAGGGAATGACACGACTCATACATGATGAAGAGTTCTGGCCATCTTTAAAAAGAGCGATAACACGGTTCCTATGTGATGAGGACGACTGGTTATCTAGGGGTGACACGGCTCCTACGTGATGAGGAGGTCTACTCGAGGGATGACACGGTTCCTACGTGATGAGGATGATATACCATCTTTAGGGATGCCATCACGGTTCCTGCGCGATGAGGACGACTGGTTATCTAAGGTGACACGGTTCCTACGCGATGAAGACAGTTGGTCGGGGGATGATACAATTTCTACGTGATGAGGACGGCATACAATCTTTAGTGATTTTGGTTTCAAGAAAAAATCGACTCACAGATTATGCTTCAAGAGAAGTTTTCTCCAGAGAGACAAAATTCTTTTCAAGGGAAACGATCTCAAAGATGTTTATTTTGTTTCAAGGGAAACGATCTCAAAGATGTTTGTTTTGTTTCAAGGGAAACAGACTCAAAGGTAGGTGTTTCAAGAGAAACTGTCTCCAAAAACAAAATTTTGTTTTAAAGAAAACAAACTCAAAGATTTTTTTTAAAAGAAACTGTCTCGAGAGACAAAATTTGTTTTTAAGAAAACTGTCTCTAGCGAGACGACACTTTGTTTCGATAGAAACAACATCAAAGGATACTGATAGTCTGCTTGCTCCTACTGGTGGAGGAAATGTCTTCAGAAGATCTAATCGTTCACATCAGGATGTTGAATCCCCAAAGATGCCCCAACATTCATCATTTCTTGCTTCAATACTGATTCTAGGCATGAGCTTTGTGTATGAGAGCCACATGTCAACTACCAAGATCCACTCCAGAGAGATTGTCTTGTTTGAAAAATGTTTTTCTTCTTCTTGTATTTTCAAAAAGTCTGAAAATATCAATTAAAAGAGTTTTGAAAAATGTTTAATCAAAAGTTTGAAAATATTGCCCCTTTCGAGGTTTCACAATTGACAAATCATAAAACAAGAGTTCATTGGATATCAAAGAATTAATTACACTGTTAATCATTCAATAAATTATAGCTATTTGACAAGTGTCAAGATCAATGCTATCTTTGAGAAATTGTTAAGTAAGGAAAGGATAAAAAAGTCTCAAGTTATTGTGTTTAGTCAAAGGTATGGTGCTCTAATTTATTTGTTGTTCACTGATCTGATGGAGTAGCTTCTTTACTAATTTATTGGAAGTGTTCTCCGACTCCTAACTCTCATGATCTTATTCGGGTTGTGCGATGTCTCATCAAGGGATTTGTACGATCGCCTCATATGCAATAGTTGCACCATCTTTATATTCGAGCTGCCTTTTCAGGTTTTCAACTTGAATCCTCCTTTGGTTTCAAGATGTTATTCAGAATTTACGTCTTGAACCCCCTTTGTTATTTTTCTCTATAATGCATTAAAGATTCTAGAAAACCTTTTGTAAATAAAAGATTAATCTTGATGGGTGGGAACAAATCTGAAGATAGTCTCTTCTATTCAGAAATCTATGTATGATTATAAGGGACTTTTAAGGCACGTAATGTAGGCCATGGTTCACGATTATGAAAGAAAATGATAAATAGGCCCAAATAAGTGTATAGGGTTATTGAACCAATGATCAATTCATTCTGATGCCTTCGATTTTGTCTTGCTCAATTTGAATATGCTCGCATGTGTCTTTCTCTTAATGTTCTATGATCTTCAAGTGAAGTAATTCTGGAATGATGGTACTTGATCAATATTATAGTTTGAAGCTCGATGCGTCATTTGAGTCGAGGGACTCTTTGCATGTGTTTCTTGTCCTATATTTTTCTTTGTTTTTCTTTTGTTCTTTTTTCTTTGCTTTTTCTCTTTGTTTATATTCTCTTTGCTCTTTGTTTTTTTTTTGCTCTTTGTTTTTTTTCTCTTTGTTTTGATTGGATCTTCACACTTGGCATTTGGTTCACCTTTTAGTATCTCATCTGGATCAATGTCTTCGCTCATGCGAGCATATTTCCTTCACCTTGCCCCCCCAGTGTGGAGGGTGATCCTTGGTTAGGGTTGAATTAGAAGAAAATATCATTCAGGCTCAAATGGGGACACAAGGGATATATTTTCTCCTTTTGTGAAGGGATAAAGAAAGAATGTCGTTCATCATTTCATACACAGAAGTCCTTGCAGAAGAGGTATCCCGAGGGGGATAGATTTTCAGAATTAATTTTTATTCACATGAAAACAATGTAATTAATGCATGATAGAATTATTTTGAATTAATATTTTTTTCTGCTTCTTTCTCTCAACATGTCTCTATGTTCAAGCTCATCATTAGGAAGTTGATGCGAGAAGCCCAAAGTCGTGTCTTATTGTAAGAGGTTCATGTTCAAGTGAACATCTTGTATTTAAGCCCAAAAATCGGGCGTTCTTTGCTAATTTGCTTCATTTTCCTTTTGCATGAGAGAGAGAAAGAGAGAGAAGGGGAGAGAAATCTCTCCAGAGCTTCGACCGAAGCTCATACTTCGGTGGAGCTCCACCATGTGGGCTGACACTGACCGACGATCGCCGCCGTATGCCGGAGAGGAGAAAAAAAGCATCACCCAAAGTATCTTGTGCCCCAGAGAGAGGATCTGGGCCCGCGTGGCCTGAAAATGGCCCAATCGCCGCAGATCTAAGAAGAAACCTTTCGGTTCCTTCGGCTCCGACAACCTCGGCTTTCAACGACATTCGACCGAGGTAAGTTATCTCCCCTCTCCTCTTTTCTTTTCTGTTTTTCTTTGGGTTTTCTTTTGTTTTTCGAATCTCTCTCTTTTTTCTCTGATTTTCCTCTCTCAAGTCCCAAATCCTCTATGTGTTTTTTTCTTCACCGAATGCTCCCCAAATCCCGAATGGTTTCCCTTTTTTATCTTCCTTCCCTCTATATTTTTTTGTTGTTTGATGAACTTGATAGATATATTTGAGTGCCTCGGGATATTATTTGATTTTGTTAGATTTTCCTATTCCTTTCTTTTGTTGATGGACTACTGTCTGATGAGTTTGATGACTTGTTGTCACTGTTCGGTGCATGTAGGACAATCGGCGATGACATTAGAGAACAGGCGGTGGCGGCAGACATTATAACCTTAGGGTTAGGATTTCAGAAACCCTAGGGGCCCGGGTCGGATCTGAATTCGGGTATGGATCCGAGTCGAATGATGGGTCGGTTTGGGTCTCGGGTCGGAGCTCCAGCTGGATCTTGTAACTGGTCGGGTTGGTGGATTGGATGTTCTGTTGGGTCTTGTATTGTAACTGGGTTGGGTTCCAATATTGGGCTTCGGGTAAAGCCTACAAAAATTGTAATAAAATAATAATTATTATTAATAATAAGATAATAATAATATTAAAATATTAATATTTTGTAGACCCGAACAAAAACGGGTATCTACACATACACCATATTAACCACGTCTGAATATAATGAGTTTATGTATGGATATCATTTGTGTAGTTTACTTACTTTTAATATATAAAATATATTCACAAGCTAATTTATCTCAGTGATTAAAGGAATTGTTGTTGTTTATAGAGTTCACAAATTCGAGTACTAACAACAACAACAGGGTGATTGAACTTTTATTGTTAAAAAAAATATAATATTTAAAACAAATATTATTTTGTAGGCACCTTAGCTTAACTAAAAAATATAATATATATAATTATGTTTATTGCAACAAAATATTCATTTTGGTATTTTTTTAGAATATTTTGATCTCGATGTTTTATTTTAAGATAAAATTTTTTTTAATGTTTGACTAAATAGTCACTTTGAATTTTATTATTTTTTATAGAGCATTTTAGCTCCTAAATTTTTTTTAGGATAAAAAAAAATCCTATTTTGGAGCGCTAGTCACTTATTAATTAATAATTTCCATTCATGGAGAAACCTTTTTACCCCGGAATAAAACAACTAAGACTAAAATATTTTAAAAAAAATATATAAAAGTCAAAAAGATCATTTAACGAACTTTTGGGAGCTAATTTTATTATTATGCATTTATATTTTGATCTCTACTCATGTTAAGCCTAACTACTACTTAAGCTACTGTTATGATCATGATGAGTTGATGATTCTTGGAACTGAGTTGATGACTTCTTTAACCGAGTGTAACATAGAGACCAGTGGAAAGTGTCCGCAAAGCCCATAGTATTTTAATCTTTGGCCCAAACGTAGGCTTTGTTCTAATATAAACCCTAGTTGTTTTCACCTTAAGCTTTCTCCGTGATTTATAGGGTTTCCCTCCGCCGTTCTTAATCACAAAAAAAAATCTTGGAAGTAGTTTTCGGAGTTGCAGAAATGGTAAATCCCAAACCCCATTTCAAACAATCGTCCTCTATTACTATTCATCACCTTCATTTTATATTTATATTGATTTTGTTGTTAAATGTAGGGTCCGAAGAGAGGTGGAAAAGTGGCCGTGCCTTCCAAGAAGAAACAAGTAAATTTTCTTTACTTTCTTTACACATGAATACCTCTAAGAACTCGATCGTCATCTCACTATCCTTTATGTTATTTTGATTTTTCATTATTAGGAGAAGGTTGTCAATCCATTGTTCGAGAAGCGTCCGAAGCAGTTCGGTATTGGAGGGGCTTTACCTCCTAAGAAGGATCTGCATCGATTCGTAAAGTGGCCTAAAGTTGTTCGCATTCAAAGGAAGAAGAGGATCCTTAAGCAGCGGTTGAAGGTTCCACCGGCATTAAACCAGTTTACCAAGACTCTTGACAAGAACCTTGGTATGCACTAAAATCTCCACCCGTTTCTGATTTGTGCATTAGATTCACCATGTTTGGTTTGACTGATTATTTGCACTACTGTTTTGTTTTCCCGTCAAATTCGAATGGATATTTGCATGGTACTAAATTGCAGTTGCGGATGCGGTGTCGTTTGTTGTGGATGTTATGACTGATTTACCTCCTAAAGTAAAATTAACAATGATTTTAAATCGCAGATGAGGTTGCAATGTCACGTTGTCCTTGAAAATGTTAGACCTTGAAAAATGTTTCAATGAGGTTGTTACATTGTGTTGTGGCCGCAATTAAATACTAATGATGTATGTATAGTAGGAGTTCGGGAAATTGATTTGTAACGTCTTTAGTTATTTTAGATATATAGTTCTGACTTCTGACCTTTCTCCCGATAATTTGATTATATGAGAAAAAGAATGTGGATCGGAAATATGGAAATTGATGAATGTTGGAGATTTCTCACATTGATGGCAAGGTAAAGGTGACTTTTTGAATTTTTGATGGGATGTTGGAGATGGTTATTTTCGAATTTATTATGTGGTTTTTGAATGTTGTCCTCGTTGCAAAAATGTTTGTTCCTTTTTATGCATATACTTATTATGCCATGTTCTCGCATCTTGTCGAATCCATCATTCTTAATCATTTTTATAACATCTTGCATCTGTGTTCCCTTCCATATTCCACTCCATATTTATCGCTGTAGGGTACCTTTTCTTTTTGTAACGGTTGTGAATGAAGATTAGTCATTTAACCTTGGTTATCTTGTGTCCCATTACAGCAACAAATCTGTTCAAGTTACTCCTCAAGTACAGGCCAGAGGACAAGGCGGCGAAGAAGGAACGTCTGTTGAAAAAGGCCCAGGCCGAGGCTGAAGGCAAAGCACCCGAGTCTAAGAAACCAATTGTTGTGAAATATGGTCTTAACCATGTTACATACCTCATCGAGCAGGTTGCCCTCTAATTGCTTTCTGTTGCATCAGTTTATTAAGTGTGGTCTTGTACTTTTACTATTTTTTAGCACATAAAAATAGTAGTTTCTTTATAATATTTTCTGCAGAATAAGGCACAATTGGTTGTTATTGCCCATGACGTGGATCCCATTGAGATGGTAGTGTGGCTCCCGGCTCTGTGCAGAAAAATGGAGGTCCCTTACTGCATTGTTAAAGGAAAATCACGTTTGGGATCGGTAAATTTCTTCTATATCTTCCAAATGCCTAATTATGGAGTTAATGAGAGGGTACTTAATCATGTTAGTGTATTACTGCAGATTGTCCACAAGAAAACTGCTTCTGTCTTGTGCTTGACCACGGTTAAGAACGAGGATAAGATGGAATTCAGCAAAATCCTCGAGGCAATCAAGGTAAGAATACACCCATGATATTATATTGAAGTCATACTTCGTTATATTCACTGGTGCTGTACATTGCAGGCCAACTTCAATGACAAGTACGACGAGAATAGGAAGAAGTGGGGAGGTGGCATCATGGGATCCAAGTCACAAGCCCGAACCAAAGCAAAGGAGAGGCTTCTTGCAAAGGAAGCTGCGCAGAGGATGACTTAGAGGAAGTATACACCTTTAGTCTGAGGTTGGTGTTTGATTAAATCGTCTAGTGTAGTGAGCTACAATCGATTTTCCTTTAGTGTAGTAAGTCACAGTTGATTTTGGACCTGGTTTACTCATTTTCTTAGAGGAACATTGATATCGTTTTTCGTGGTTGAACTTTCTAAGTGCCTAGTACGTGGTGAAGTTTGTGATTTTCTAAATGAATTATGAATCCGTGTTTTATTTGAAAAGTAGTCATGATAAGGGCAATTACCTTGGAGGTCCTGATAAGTTGTGCGAATTCTTTCACTTATTGTTCTCAAAACGAACAAGAATCAGAATGAAAATACAAACAAGGAAATAGCAATTTAATTACATCGTTATGTGTATGATAGAAGAACGTCAAGTTTCAGATTTCTGAGATAGCCAAGGACTTGTGTTGACGTGGCAAAGGGAATGCTTATAAAGGGTGAAATGAAAACCGTTATTTTTTATTCACCATTATTTTAGAATGGCAATTTCACCAGCATCGACGGTTTCAACCCGATCGGGATGAAGTCGGGTTGGATTTTTTAAAGGATGAAGTCAGGTCGGTTCAGGTGGAGAGTGAAAAAAATTTTGATACAAGGATGATAATGCAATTTTTTTAAATTTTATTACTTTTTAAATTAAATTCTTATTTTATATCAGGTCAAGTTGGATTTATATTTTAAAAAATTGGGTAGGATTGGAGTTGGTAAAGGATTTATATTTTTTTTGTTAGATTGGGTCGGATGTATGATATAAAATTTTTGGGTCAAATTTGGAGAAAAGTATATTTTTGGGTTGGATTGAATTGACAAAAAACCAAAAATCCAACTCTAACTTGACTCATGTCATCCCTATCTTTAATCCTACTATCCATCCACAGGATCATGGATAGAAATGACCCAATGGTCCATCCCTACCTTTAATCCTACTATCCATCCACAGGATTATGGAAGAAATGACCCAATGTCATTGAGAATTATAAAATTTTAAGAAATAAAATTAAATTATTTTAAGAAATAAAATTAAGTTATTAGTAGAAAATACAAAAATAATTAAATTACATAAAATTTTAAGAATTTCAAGTGATGATATCTCCTTAATCTATTTTCAATTCATTCATGTTTATTTTTAGGGTTTGGTGGCCCAGAGGAAAGTTAAAATTAGGTCTTTAATTAGGAATTTAAGTTACAATTATTTAAATTATAATATGTATTTGTGTATTTGGCCATTTTTGGTTTATCACTATTACGAACATAATTGACGATATTACGGTCATTGCAAGTATCGTGATTATGGTTTTTTAATAACAGATGTTACGATGGACATAATAGTTGTAGATATCTCGATTTCTGACGATGTCATTATCACTATATAATTATTGTTGTTGTAGTTACATATTTACAAATTGTTATTTAAATAATTGTTCCTAATAACAACTTAAAATAAAATTTAAAGGTAGTTCCATAATAACAAGTATTGAAAGAAATGAATTGTTAATAATAAATATTAAAATAGTAAATTTTAAGAGTAGTTCATCATATCAAATACTGAAAAATTTACATATACAATAACAAATAAGTATTAGAATAAAAATTGAATTTTAAAACTATACATCTAATAACAAATATTAAAAAATCAGAGCCGCAAGTATTGAGAAAAACTGGGGCCTTAATAATAAATGTTAGAAAAAGTATTACTGAAAAGTTGGACAATTATTAAATATTAGAAAGATAAATTATAAGATTATGATTAATAATAAATATTAAAAAAATAAAACCTATAATAATAAGTATTAGAAAAAAATTAAATCCTTAATAATACATATTAAAAATAATTAGACTTTGTAATTGGTAGAAATTTATTTTTTAAAATATAATGAACTATAAAATTTTTGGGGTCCTGAAAATATCCCTCCTATTAGAGGCGGAAGGTAATGAGGACTAGTTGAGGCCATGGTCCTCCAAATCTTTTTTTTTTTTTGAAGTTTAGACCTTTAAATTTTTAAAACATTTAATTTGGTATCCACAATTTTTATAAACCTATATTATTTTTAAAAAATTTTAAACATGCTTTTGTAATCCCTCCCATAATTATTAAAAATTCCGTCACTGTTAGTCTTGGAACAAAGCTTCCATCCTCACCTGACAGCCATGGAGCCAGCGACGCCATATCAGTAACCGTTCTAACAATTCAAAAACAATTTTCCACCAAATCATTATATGATATGACATTTTTCCACCATATGTCACGCCTTTCTTTCCATAAGCTTATTCTCTCCGCTACTCTCCAGGACAAGAAACTGGTAAAAATACTCGAAACCCAAGTTTCAACTTCCTTTAATATCTCGTTTAATTCAATATTTTAGTATTGAGAAAGTAGAAGCCGATAGGAATATATCATGGGTTTTGTTTGTTATGTATTATTCAATTATGGGTTTCTGTTATTTTTTTTCTTCTGGGTTTTGAATTGTGTTTTTGAGAGTTGGAGATTAAATTTGAATGTTAAGACCTGCTGAGAGTATGTTTGGTAGGGAGAATTAAATTAATATTTTGGTAGCTGGTGTGATATGATGTTGTTTAAATAAAATAATAGTAGTTTGTTTGGCTACTGGATGAACTGGGTAACGTATAAAAATGGAAGAAACACAAGATCTAAATTCTTCTTACAGAGTCCTTATTAGACAAGTGGTGGATTGAAGTTGTGAGGATACTTGCTGGAATTAATTACATATGCATGATTTTATTTATATGATTTTAGATAATAAAATATTATCTTTATTAATTAAGAAAACTGCAAGTTATTACTAGTTGTGTTAAGCATTTCATTTTTCATTCTCGTCGTATGCTACGTTGATTTCGGAATCTGTGAGTAACATCCATAGTTTGTCATCTGTTTGTTTGACATTTCTTTCTAGTTTATGCTGCTACTGAGTTTGGTTGTCTCAGGCAGAATTCAGTTCAGAGGTGCCGTAACCGGTTTTTTCCCGGGTATGAATTTTTACTTGGCGGAAAAATTAAAATGAATAAATAAATGATTTTGATTTAAAATAAAATATTTTGGGAGTCACCATTGACCCTTTGGGTTAGGTAGGTCAAATACCTAAAAACAACCTTTTAAAATAGTTTTTAAGAAAACATAATTTAAAAGATAAACTGATCTGCGTATAACCAAAATTTTTTAGTAAAGAAGTGATTCGTGGTCGATTACGTTTAGGGAAGGATTAACACCCCTAAAACGCCCAAAATTGGTACTCATTAATTATAAATTGTCTCTATTATTGGAAATTTAAAAATTCAAAAATATATTTAATTCATAATCATGTTATTTCAAATTTATTAATATAATTTTAAGAAAATATATTAATATCTATATATATTTTTATTTTTATAAATAAGATATTTATTTACTTAGAAATATCAGAAAATGACTTCTAGGTGTTTTAAGACTGCCCATTTCTTAATATTAAAAAATAAATGAATATTAATAAAACATTTCTCTAAAAATAATTAATATATAATTTATAAAAATAGGATATTTATTTAAGAATATCAGAAAAGGACTTCTAGGTGCTTTAAGACATCACATTTCTTAATATTAAAAAATAAATAAATATTAAAATATGATTATTTTTCTTAAAAGTAATTTATATAAAATTAAATTTATAAATAGAATGTTTATTTAATATATAAAAAATAAGTAAATAAATAATATTTATTATATATGTTTATATGACTACATAATAATAATAATAACACTAATAATACATATAAAATTAAAATATAAAATGACTGAAATAAATATAATTTAAAACTATAGTACTAAAATATAAAAAGTAATAAAGCTTGTAGTTAAAAAAAGAAAGTATTTGAAATTAGTGACTAAATTATAATATATTAAAATTAAATACCCTAATTCATAATTAGGTATTTAAAATTTCAGTGGCTAAACATGTTATTTTACCTATTATTACTTTAATGACTAAAATAAATATATATAAAATTCGGACATCAAATTAAATTAAATTAAAACATGTTATTCATATTGAAATATTAATTACTAAAATTAGAGGACTAAATCCGTTATTTTACCTAAAATATATATATTATTTTATGTAAAGGACTAAATTATAAAGTAAATAAAATTCACAGACCGAATTAAAATATTCATAATTTAAATCTAGTGACTAAAATATAAATTTATAAATTTAAGATAAATGCGGAAAGGGTTTTACCCTTATCAAATTACACACAATCCTATCCCCAGAACGATGTCGTTCGGGGAGGGGTATTTAAACCCTAAACCGAATAGCCTTAAGATCATTTTTTATTTTCTTTTTCCCCTTTCTCTCTAACTGAGAGAGTTTTAAAACTATCTCGCCTCTCTCTAGGATTCCCTCACCGGAGGGAATCCGATCACCGACCGACAGCCACACGCCGCCGCTAACCTCACCGTCGGCCACCGTCGTCGGTGGCCGAAAAATACAAAAATTTCCCAAATGTTAGATCCGAGCGATCTATACCCAAATCCAACCCTAGTTTATCCTAAAAAGCTAGGGATTTTTGTAGATTTAGAGAAATACCTTCGGTATTATGTTTCTGTGGTAGGGTCTCCGGTCACCGTGCGACTTCTCTGGTAAGTTTCTCAGTTTTTTTTATATATTTGTTTTTTTTTTTTACTTTTTCTTTTCTTTGCTTGCCGTGTCTCTTCTCCTTATTGGCAAGGGGCTCGGTGGCTTTTATAGCTACCACTGAGGCTCGCCTTAGACTGGTCTCAAGGGTAGAGTTTGGTGAGTCACCAAACCTAAAGTGGTGACTCACACTAAAGTCATAACGTGGAAGACCATCCTTGCTTCCTTTGGAGATTTCTGTTGAAGCATGGCGGGGCTTGGCAACAGCTGGCTGGGACGTGGAGCGGCGGTAACTGGTGTAGTCCCTAGGGTATCATAACCCTAGGGTTCTTTCTAGTGCGTCTTTGGACCGTTGGATCTCATCAGATCCAATGGTGGATGATTGATGGCGGCTAGGGCTGAGATACAAACCCTAAATGGGTTTAAGATTGTCATTTGGGCCGATCTGGGTGTGAGTGGGCCTCTGGGTTTTTTGGTTATAAGTGGACCTCGGGTATGATTGGGCTTGTAATGTAAATAATAAAAATAATAATAATAATAATAATAATAATATAATTATAAAATAAATAATAGTAATAAATAAAATAA